AAAAAATATATATGTAATTTATTATTATAAAAGAAATAACACAGAAAAGAAATAAGTATAAGCCAAGTCTTTACTGACGAAGACCCCCACGTCCAGCACCATGCCCTCGTGGGTTGGGCATGGTGACCCCTGTAAGTCTCCCTGGGGAGGCGATACTGAGACCCTTGCCGCAATTTATTAATTCAACAACCTCAAACCGTTGCTTTAGTTTGTAGCATTTTCCGTCGGGACCAAGAAACACATAGTCTGGTCCCTCTTTCTTAGCCTCCACGAGGTTCTCAATGATTCTCTCGAACCGAGAAGGGGGCATATTCACCCAGGAAGCTGGGATGTTAACGTCTTGAACCTGTTATAGAAATAAGACGTGAGCAAAATATTTTCCTTTTACTAAAATTGCTGGACACAGGATATTACACACTCACTTATTTTTCACTTGATTATAAAATTAAAAGGTACTTACTTCTTTTAATCCGTTCATTTTGAGTTTCCTTCTTTGCCGCAATTTATTAATTCAACAACCTCAAACCGTTGCTTTAGTTTGTAGCATTTTCCGTCGGGACCAAGAAACACATAGTCTGGTCCCTCTTTCTTAGCCTCCACGAGGTTCTCAATGATTCTCTCGAACCGAGAAGGGGGCATATTCACCCAGGAAGCTGGGATGTTAACGTCTTGAACCTGTTATAGAAATAAGACGTGAGCAAAATATTTTCCTTTTACTAAAATTGCTGGACACAGGATATTACACACTCACTTATTTTTCACTTGATTATAAAATTAAAGGGTACTTACTTCTTTTAATCCGTTCATTTTTTCTTTTTTTTTTTTTCCTTTGATCAAATTTCTGCGTTGGCTACACAGTTCTTCTTTTTGTATTAACACTAGTTAGGGCTCTGGTCACGGTTCACAGTCAAGTGAGCACCAAGCAAATTCACAGGCCAAAAGACAAAGGGTCCCTTAGAAATTTAGTAGAGGGGATGCAACGTCACAGCCTTTTGGCCAATCATCTTTTAGGAAGATGTTTAAAAATTCTTTAGACAAGAACAATCAATGTTTAAAATAAAGATAAGTGGGCCGCATATGCATCGCATAAACAACGTCAATAACTGTCAATACCATAGACTACATACGTTCTATAAACATTTTCCGTTAGGCTCTATTAACTAATGGATCACTGACACAATTAAAAAAAAAATGATAAAATTGGGAAATAAGGCGCATACAAATTTTTTGAAATCTAGGAGTGATGCGAATTGGGCAACATACAGAAATTATACGAATTACGATACTGCTGCAATTAACAAAGAGAGGAAAGCATACTTTACATTTAGATTTGACGACAGCTTAAATATAGAGAGATGGCAAAATTTAAGGAATTATGATATTCATAGTTCCAAGAAACATGCATATGAAA